TGTAAAGGGGATGAAGGCAAGTTCTTCATTCCTAAAGGTAGATAATCAGAGTGCCTACTGCTTCAGGGACATGTTATAAGGATTAGATTATTTAATACACGTGACATACTTCCAATAATGCCTGGAAGATCACAAGCATTATAAATAAGGTTAATACTAAAATAAGTAACAATAACGAAGTATGACACAGGATAGGGAATCCTATAAAGTTTATTAGCTAAGTTTCCTATGATCAACTTTTTTGGAGAGGGGGAAAGTAATTTGAGAAAAATGCAAAGCAACAGATTCCTACTAATTTGGGCTTTGTACAAAATCTTTCTCCTTCACTTGTCTCCTGGGGAAAACCGTGATTGTGGGTCTCGTGCCAGGAGGAGGCAAACATCTTTGTCACTGGGCAGCCTCATGGGGCAAGATGGCACTGGTGATGGTTAAGAGTCTCTATTTCCTGGGACAGGTTAGAAGGAAAGCTGTGGTCTCCTCACACTCCTTCCTTTTCCCTCTACTCCTCCTAATTCTCTCAATTTAGCTTTATGTGGAACTGGAAATTTAAAAGTAGGACAGGCAGCTGAAGTCAGAATGTCCTTCTCAAGCACTTAGGTTGGGATTTGACCCCAAAAGTCTTTAATTCTCTGAGAATTAAGACATCAAGAAAAAGAATTCCCCTGTAGTCAATCACTATCTTAACTGTGGCCCCATCAAGACTTTCATACTGGCCAAGTGTAGCCTGAAAGGCAGTGGTTCTGAGGCAGAGCGGAGCTAGAGAAAGGCCCCAAAACTTCTGGATTTATGGGGTGGCACAGGCGAGGCCAGCTGCTCTTGGCACACATAATAAGGGTCTGCCTCATGGAAGGTTACTCCTCAGCCTCAGAGGAAGGTTACTAGAAGGAAAAGCAGCCTCATGGAGTTGGCTCGGGAAAAACACAGAAGACCATCAGGCCCCTCCTCAGTGCCCCCCCAGGCTAGGCGGGTCGAGGCCACCTGTTGTAACATGGACAGTGTCATCTGCAGGCACAGCTGGAGAGGGAAGTTCTTCATTGAGGGCTTGGAGGGAAGGATACCTATCCCCACCCTGTCAAACTCTGAGCGCACTGGTTAGAATGTGAGAACAACAGTCTACTCTAGGGACCATCTCTGTTCAAAGGGACAGGCTTGCTTCAGCTGCCAAGCAGGCATACATGGCCACATCAGCCTGTGGGCCCGGTGCTAGTCACCCTGGAGAGAGCCCTGTGAGGAAGGCAGGATGGGGGCGCAGACCCAGCAGACAGCACGTGGGTCCATGGGAATTTTAAAATGTCTCGGGAAATGCATGCGCTGCTGGTCTGGCTGCAGGGCTGCTCCTGGCTTTCTAACACTTTTCTTTTGGAAGGCAGACTTTCCTAGTGCTTCCAGCCAGTTTATATTCCTGAGTTGACTTCTGAGCAGGAAAATCTCCCTGTGTTTGTTTTCTCCCTCCTGATCTGAGGTTGAGCCTCCTTCCATCAGGAGCTGTGAACAGGAGCTGGGCTTGGCAATTTAGACAGATTTTTCTAAAGAGTTGACCATGCATGCTGGGTGGCGTCCCCTCGAGCTGTCCTGCAGATGTGAGAGCGGGAGGAAGGTGTAAGGAGATGGGCAGTGTGTCCTGTTGACACCTGTCATAGTCTCAGCTGGCTGAGCCTGCCCTCTGGCCAGCTGGCTATGCTCATTTGTGACAGTTTTTACTATGGCTGCCTACATCTAAGATCACTTTAGTACTGGCGACAGGAGCCACAATCCCCAATCCTTTGCCAGCCCAATCCAGAGCAGATGAGCCTAGCTGGGGGGAAGGAGGGCTGACACAGTGTCCCCCAGCATTGGGGCTGTGGGAGCAAAAGGAACAAGAGGTTGGACTGCGAGGACAGGAGCTCGGCGGTGTGAGAAAACCCGTCGACACAAACCAGTCTGCCCAGGCAGCCAGGGCAGAGGTTTACCTCTGAAACTACTGCTGTTCCTTCTCGTGCGCTGTCTTGGGGTGGGTGCAGGTGGTGATGCCTAGAGCCCAGGAGGGCGGGGCAGCATGCTCCAGATCCAGCCGATGTCAGGTCCCCCCAGAGCTTCCCATGCTGCCCCTGGGGGCTCAGACCTAAGAGTCTGCAGGTTGAAGGAACCTTACAGCCTAAGGTGGAAATCCCACAGGAAGGGGGCCTCAAGTGAGCAGTCTCTAAAAGAGGGGTGGCTGTGATTTGTGGCATGAAAACAAGGGGTAGCTGTTTCAGAGGAAGGAGGTGATGAAGATGGTGCTGGGATGAAAATACCTTCACTCCTTGGTGTCACTGTGGCCTCCCACTGACCTGCCTGGCCTCAGTCAAGGTCCCGCATCAAGAGCATTGGAGGTGCCAGGCTTCTCCCAGAACCATCACCCTACTGTCTTCCCAGATCACTGTGTGATACTCACTGACTCAGAGACCCCTCAACATGTTCACCAAGTCACTGTTATGGGAAGGCAGCTACTGTCAACTAAAATGAACTCTTATTTCCAAACCCTGCTTTTGTTTATTGTATTCAGATTATATGATGTCTTTGTTGTTAATCTTCACCAGATTATATATATTTTTCCCATTGATTTTTAGAGGGAGGGGAAGAGAGAAACATCAATGTGAGAGAGACACATTGATTGGTTGCTGCCCGCACTTGCCCCTACCAGGGCCGAAGATCAAGCCTGTAACTCAGGTATTTAATGGTCTTGACTGGAATTAAACCTGCGACCTTTCAGTCCGAGGGCCATCTATCCACTGAGTCAAACTGGCTAGGGCCTATATGACTTTTTTAACTTAAAAAAACACAAATTATCAAAGATCCTTTAGCCTTTAGTTGATGGACAACCACAGTCCAGTATAATGACAAAGCTGTCATCTTCAGACTAAGATGGGGCTTGGCTAGAGTGGCAGCTTCATGAGATGGATCCCTTGTCCAGAATTACTGTGGCAAATGCCTAGCAGTGGTCTTGACAGGACCACTATTTCTTCACTATTCCTGACTCACCCTCCCTGCCTTTCTGATGACCCCATCCCTGCTGCTCTCAAGACAGTTGTTTTCATGAAGGGCATCTGCCTGGACCCCTCTCCCAACTCCACATTTTAGTGTCCAGAGCTGAGCCCTGACACCCCCTTCACCCCTCCTCCTCTCACCATTGTCCCTGCTCACCAAGTACTTCCGGTGCTCATCCTTGCTTTCTGCTGCCTCCTGCACCTCACCTCCTGATGCTCCTTGACGTCACCTTCAGAACAATCCACAATCAGACACTTCTCCCATTCCCACCACTGTGGCCACACACACACACACACACATACACACACGCACACACACACGCACACACACACACACCATCTCCTGTGTCGAGCCAACCCTCAGCTCCCAGGCCCTTCTCATGGCAGCTACCAGAGTGATCCTACTAAAATCTAAGTCAGATCCTTGCACCTCTCTTCTCAGAAGCCTGCAGGGCCCCCATTGCCCTCCAAGTAGAAGCCAAGTTCACAGAATGGCCTTACAGGACCTCCCCATCCTTCCCTGCTCTCAACTCCTTCCTCTCTTCTCCTTGCTCACTCTGCTCCAGCCACACATACCTCCTCATTGTTCCTCCAACACCCAGGCACAGTCCTGCCTCAGGGCCTTTGAATGGGCGGTTCTTTTGCCTTAGACACTTCCCCAATGGCTCCCTCCCCAACTTCTTCATGTCTTTACTCATTTGCCCCTCAAATCAGTTTCCCTTCATGGTAACTTCTCAATGCCAAAGAGAGAGGAACTGTAACCAACTATTCTTTTGGAGAGTAGTTTCAGTTCTCCCTGTAGTCACTTCTACTTGGAGGAAGATAACTGCATTCTTGATTTCATGATGACCTTGATGTCAGTTCAACAGAATCATCCAAACAGAGAAGTCTACTTTCAATTTAGATAACATGGAGTTGGGGGAAAGGAATCATATTTCCCAAACCTTTCTCTTTACATATGAGTCAGTCTCCCCGAAGTTCTCTTTCTAACCATTACTTTCGATAATGGGCCAGATATTGAACAGTAGGCCAGATATCAGATATTAGCCTTCCTCACTCAGGACCCCTGGTGCAGTGCCCCTTCCAGCCTACCACCCATGCAATATGCCCACCCACTAGCCCAGAACCAGTATCATCACGTGGCTCCTGCCCCACCCACCATCGTTGTCAGTGGGGTTGTATGGACAGAGGTAGATAGATCCTTACCTCCCACAGTGATCCTGGATCCTTCACAGGATCCTGCCTCGGGCTGGTTCCTGTGCACGTGGCTCCTGCCTGTCCCAAATCCCGTGCATGGTAAAGGCCTTTGTACTCACACAGCAGAGTGGAAGCCAGAATCAAACTATAGCTTTGGGGACATTGTGCTTTGGGCTCCCAGGCAGTCGTGTTGCCCCATGTGAGGGCTTAGCTTTCTACAAGGATGGCTCTTGCCTCTCCAACACTAGTGACCTTTGGGGGCAGCAACTTCAACTCTGGATTCTTTTTCCTGCCTTGGCCTGAGTACAAAGTCCGGCACATGAGCCTCATAGGTATTTCATGCAGTTTTCATCTATACTCCGCTCGGTCAGGACCTGCAGGGACATTAATCCATCTCCATGGACAACTGGCCAGTGCAGGGCATGGCGCTCATGGGCCCCTGAGTTTTCTTGAATCTGCCTCTTTCTCATCATCAGAATTGATCTTCGTTCCCATGGGTTTAGGAGACATTGGATGTTTAAGCAGTATCAGGGGCGTGTGCATGTTTAAATGATTATAAGGACAAATTGTACGAGGTCTCCATCCATGCATATTTTTCTCAAGTCAAGGAGAATGAAAGTTGAAGGAATAAAGAAGCAGGTGAAAAGAAGCTACTAAGTAACTTGCCCAGAATCTTCTGAACCCAAATCCATGGCAGTAGCCGTGAATTTCCTCACCGTATGAAGTGAAGGGAAAGCATGTGGTTAGCATTTGGTGTCAGGAGGAATCTGACAGTCAGGACTGTGTCTCTTTCTCCAGCTCCAGTGGCTGTTAGATAATTACGAAACCGCTGAAGGCGTCAGTCTCCCCCGAAGTTCTCTTTATAACCATTACCTTCGGCACTGCCAGGAGCACAAGCTGGACCCTGTGAATGCCGCCTCCTTTGGGAAACTGATTCGCTCCGTGTTTATGGGCCTGAGGACGCGGCGGCTGGGTACCAGGTGGGTAGAAGGGGGTGTCTGACAGCCCGCACACCCCCCGTTCTTCCTCTTTCTTTATATAGAAATCAAGCTTTTGGAGAACATGGGGCTTCCTCCTCTGCCCACACTTCCTGACTGACAGGCCTCTGGGGGACTTGGAGCTGCCGCACATTGGCGGCAGCATTGGCCTAGCCAGGCCAGGGTGTGGGCTGTGGTTCAGTTCTCTAAAGGTGACAGGACGCAGTGGTTTGCTTCAGCTCTTTGTTTGAAATTTTTCATAATAAGAGGTTTTTTTAAAAGCTGCCTCTGGATTATCTAATGGAGTTGGATTTACTATTTCTTGATGCCTTTCGCTATACTTGGACCAACCTACCATGGCCTGCCCTTGGCCTATTGCTGCCAGGGAGCCTCATGTGGCAGATTTCACCAGACAATAACATGAACACCCCTCTCACTAGGAAAAAAAGTGTAGCCACAGTCTCCTTAAGTAAGTGGCCTAGAGATCATGTGGCTGTGATCACTGACAGACCTAGCACTTGCTTTCAGTGAAGTCGTATAGAAGTGGGTGGCAGGGACCATTCATGCCCTCTCAGAAGCCAGCATCCTGGCCAACAGAATAGGCAAGTCTTCTCTTGTCCTCTTGATCCTTGACAGAGAATATCTTTACAGCACATAGTCACAGAACTGGTTTTCTGACTGCAGGACTTCTCAGAGCCTTTATCATACTAAAGTTCAAGAGGTAGTGTGCAGATGAGGAGGTAGTGTGCAGAATTTTCTAAACCTCTCTGGCCACAGAGCAACTTGTAAGCATTTCCCACAAGGTCCAGAAAATACTGAACCCAAGGGCCCAAAGTGCAGGTGCTAAAGCAGAGCACCTCCTGTCCTTTAGGACGAACTGACCCCGGGTGTTTGGTTTCTAGGGGCAACTCAAAGTATCATTACTATGGGATCCGTCTAAAGCCGGACTCGCCCCTGAACCGGCTGCAGGAGGACACCCAGTACATGGCCATGCGGCAGCAGCCTGTGCATCAGAAACCAAGGTGAGTTACTGGGTTGAGTCTGGCTTGAGGAAGGGGACAGGCCTGGGTTTTTCTAGGGAGAACACAGGGAGGATGTTTCTCAAACAGTAAATACATTCGTATGAGGGGACTCCCATTCTGCAGTGGAGAAAAGAGACTCATTAACCTCAGTCTCCAGTGTCCTGGGAGAGCCAAGACATTCACCTCCACTGACATGAAGGGAGACCAGCAGGACTCGGGGCCAAAGAAATCAACCTCAAGCTAACAAATGACAGAGCGTTCTCTTTTTAAAAAAATATTATTTTTTAGAGTGATGTTAGGTCACAGCAAAATTGAGTGAAAAATACATATACTTCCTGCCTCACATATGCACAGCCTCCCCACTATCCACATCTCCTGCCAGAGTGGCCCCTTTATTCCAGTTGATGACCCCAATAAAGTTTCAATCGATGACCCCAATAAACCAATGACTCCAACAGCAGATGAATGGATCACTAAAATGTAATATACGTTCCGGTATATATGCAATAGAATAGGATTCAGCCATAAAGAGAAAGGACATCTGACATATGACAATAGGGATGAACCTGGAGGACATGATGCTCATGAGAGAAACCAGACACAAAAGGACAAATATTGTAGGAGGTCCAGACATAGGATGTCCCTAAAAGAGTCAGATTCATAGAGACAGAAAGTAGATGGTGGGCGACAGGGGCTGAGGAAGGACAGGGATGGGTTAGTGTTTAATGGGGACATAGTTCTAGTTTGGAAAGATAGAAAGTTCTGGGAGGGGATGGTGGTGATGGTTGTACAACTATATGAATGTACTTAATATCACTGAGCTATACACTTAAAAATTATTAAGGTGGTACATTTTGTTATGTATATTTGACCAAAATTATTTTAAAACTAGATGGTACATTTTGTTATGTATATTTGACCAAAATTATTTTAAAACTAAACCTGGTGCATGAAAATCACGAGGGGGAGGAGAAGCTCCCTTAGCCCAGCCTGCACCCTCTCACAATCTGGGACCCCCTGGGGGATCAGATCTAAACCGGCAGTTGGACATTCCTCTCAAAATCCAGGACTGCTGACTCCTAACCACTGGCCTACCTGCCTGCCTGCCTGATAGCCCCTAACCAGTCTGCCTGTCTGCTTGATTGCCCCTAACCACTCACCTGCCTGCCTGATTGTCCCTAACTGCCTCTGCCTTGGCCCCCACTGCTGTGGCTTTGTCCGGAAGAATGTCTGGAAGGTTATTCGTCTGTCCAATCTAATTAGCATATTATGATTTTATTATTATAAATTATACACACACACACACCAACTGTACCCTGTTTAGCCCTGTGCTCCTCAGGCCCCTTCTAGGCAGTGTTCCTGGGGCCTCATGGTGGCACGTGTGTTTTCTACACAGGTACCGGCCAGTCCAGAAGTCGGACAGCCCTGGGGACAATGGCTCACACAGCAGCCTACACAGCACACCAGAGCAGGCCATGGCTGCCCAGAGCCAGCACCACCAGCAATACATAGGTGAGTAGTAGGCCCTGTACCCAGCCTGGGTACAGGGCCTGCTGTGAAAGCTCTGTATCTCCTCAGCACTTCTGGGTGCTTGTGGGTTTCGGCACCAGCAGCATCTAAAGGGATGCATTAAACAGTTTTCTTGTGTGGCTTTTTTTATATATAAATTTATTTTTATTTGAGAGAGATACATTGATTTTTGTTGTTATTGTTCCACTTATTCATTGGTTGATTCTTGTACATACCCTGACTAGGGATCGAACTCCCAACCTTGGCATATCTGGACAACGCTTCAGCCAACTGAGCCACCACCCAGCAGAGCCTGACACCATTTTTGTTACATAGAAAGTTTTAGATAAACCTTCCTTGTGGCATCCCTAAGATTTTAGAACCATCAGCATATGTCCCCAAAATTAATGTATAAAATGACCGTCAAAAAATAAATAAATAGCCCTGACCGGTTTGGCTCAGTGGATAGAGCCTGGGTCTGCGGGCTGAAGGGTCCCAGGTTTGATTCCAGTCAAGGGCATGAACCTTGGTTGCGGGCACATCCCCTGTAGGGGGTGTGCAGGAGGCAGCTGATCCATGTTTCTCTCTCATCGATGCTTCTAACTCTCTCTCCCTGTCCCTTCCTCTCTGTAAAAAATCAATAAAATATATTTTTTAAAAATAATAATAAATAAATAAATAATAGCCCTGACCACTGTGTCTGTGCTTAGAACATCGGCCTTGCACAGAGGATTAAGGGTTTGATTCCTGGCCAAGAAACTACTTGGATTGCAGGTTTGATCTCTGGACCCAGTGGGGCATGTGTGGGAGCCACCAATCTCAGATTGATCTTTCTTTCTTTCTCTTTCTTCCTTCCTCCTCTCTCCCTCCCTTTTACTCTCTCAAAAAGAAAAAGAAAAAAAAAAAAAGAAGAAGAAGAAGAAGAATAAAAAAATCAATGGGAAAAAAATCCTCAGGTGAGGATTAAGAAAAAAACACACACAACTAAATAAAATTAAATGCCCATCAGAGAGAAGACTAGATGTCCTATTTTATTTTTTAATTCTCACATGAGGATATGTTTGCTTGTTTGTTTGTTGATTTTAGAAAGGGAAGAGAGAGAAAAAGAGAAACATCTATCTTTTCCCCCAAAAATAAGACATCCTCCGAAAATAAGACCTACTTACAGGTTTCCTTCCGAGTGAAATATAAGGCATCCTTCCGAAAATAAGGCTCCCCTAGGCTAAACATGAGAGATTTGGTCCACTGATTCTGAAAGAAATGGAGTCACAACAAATTCACCATGAAATTCAGGAATTGGATTGTTATGATGATATTCCAGATGATGATGACATAATTGTCATTGAATAAATGAGTAAATTCTTGATACTGTAGGATTCACAGTTTGTCTGGTTTGTGTTGACAACTACCATACTACCATACGGTATACAGGTAATAAATTTCCTTTATTTTCATTTAACAATAAATGTGTACCGTATTCTTCTTCATGGAAAAATAAGACATCCCCTGAAAATAAGACCTAGCACATCTTTGGGAGCAAAAATTAATATAAGACACTGTCTTATTTTCGGGGAAACAGGGTATGTAAGAGAGAAACATTGATCAGTTGCTAACCAGGGATCTAATCTGCAGTTTGGATATGTGCCCTGACTAGAGATCAAACTCGATACCTTTCGGTGAACGGGATGATACTCAAAATAGCCGATCCACCCTGGCTGAGCTAGATGCCTATTTTAAAACCTGTCGGCTCCGGGCAGCAGCAGGGTTTGGCTATCCTCCTGGGTTCTTCTCCTTGTTTAACTGGGTCCTCAAAATCCTTAAAAAACTGGATTTCTCCCCTCCCAGTGCCCTCACAAAGGGCTGCCTGGCCCTCTTCCCTGGGAACTGTGGGAGAGACCGTTTCCCCACCCACCCACCCAGGCGGCCCACTGCTTTCTGGGGATTGCATCCTAACCAAGAGCCTGCCACAGGGCATGCCCAGCGTGTGTCACTGGGATCAGTGTCAAGCATACACACACTGAGACATCAGTGGCCTCGTGTATTTTTAATGTATTTCTTGAGCCTGAACAGAGCCCTCTGTGTTGGGTCTTCTGAAGTGGTTGTCAGGCCTTGGAGGACACCACAGGGCCAGCCTTGTCCCTACAGGCACTGCTCTGGCTGGCTCCCCTGGTGGGGTGATGAGAGCACTCACTGTGACTGGGCCCTGGTGCAATGCTTTGTCTTGTCTCAGCATATTTCATGTTGCTCGGAGGTGATGCTGCTGTCCCATTCTGTACCTGAAAAACTGAAGCGCTCGGGGAAACCAGGATGCCGCCCAGGCTTGTCAGGTGGTCACCACCACTTCTGGGCAGCGTCCCCCAGCACACGGGACACCCAGCCCATCTTCGGCTTGTGGACCTTCTGCAGGTCTGCTGACGACCCGTTTCCATCCCCCCCAGATGTCTCCCACGTCTTCCCGGAGTTCCCAGCGCCTGACCTGGGCAGCGTCTTGCTGCAAGAGAGCATCACGCTTCAAGACGTCAAGGCCCTGCAGCTGGCCTATCGGCGGCACTGTGAGGTGACTGCCCCCTCCAGGTGGCCCCGGGAAGAGCCCACCTGGGCTGTGGGGATTCAGTGGGAATCTCGGTGCCCCCAGGGCCTGGTTGCAGAGCCCAGTGTACTTCCCCAGCACTACCAAATCCTCAGACATCCCCAGGCGTCCCTGACAACACAGAGGACTCAGAGCAGCCCCTGCTCCCTCTAGCCTGGGAGCAGATAGAATCTTTGCCCCCTGGATAGCACCCCTTTGTCCATTTCCATCTCCACTGTGGTCTCTCTCTGATTTCAAAAGACCCCTCCCCCACTGCCTAAATGACCACTGACTGCTTAGAATGTCCTGATGACATGTGATTCACACCCTTATTTATTTATTTATTTTATTTCAGAGAGGAAGGGAGAGGGAGAGATAGATACATCAATTATAATCTTTGATTAGCTGCCTCCTGCATGCCTTCTACTGGGGTTGGAGCCCGCAACTTGGGCATGTATCCTTGACCAGAATCAAGCCCTGGACCCTTCAGTCCACAAGCCAATGCTCTATTCACTGAGCCAAACCAGCTAGAGCAATCCACACCCTTTTGAACACCCACATTCATGTGTCTAACGGGCCAATTTTACTTCCAGGCAACATTAGATGTCGTGATGAACCTCCAGTTCCACTACATCGAGAAGCTGTGGCTTTCCTTCTGGAATGCTAAAGCCTCCTCCAGCGACGGCCCCGCCTCTCTACCTGCCAGGTGCTGTAGTTGTTCCCCCAGACAGGCAGACAAATGTATCAACTTTCCAAGAATTGGCACTCCCCCATAATTACATGTTGTTTTTATACTTCTGACAGTTGATTTGTAATTTGCATTGCCCATTCACATGTTTCAAGTGAGTGTTTTATTGATGACCATATGCCATCCCAGTGAGAAGTCAGCAGTAGCCACAGTGGGAAATGTCATTATCTCAGCTATAGGCGGCGGGCGGACAGCATGACCCATGTGGGGTGATCTCCAGGCCTCGGCTCACCTCGTCTCCCCCGTTCCCCCACAGTGATGAGATTCCCGAAGCCACCATCATCCCAAAGGACAAGCTGGTGTCTCTGTGTAAATGTGACCCCATCCTTAAGTGGATGAGGAACTGTGACCACATCCTCTACCAGGCCCTGGTGGAGGTCCTCATCCCCGACGTGCTGCGGCCAGTACCCAGTAAGCAGCTTGCTCACCTGCCTTCCTCCTTTCTCCCCTGCACCCCTGCAGCCACCTTGTCGGGTCCAGCTCAGACTGGGACACTAAGAATCAGTGAGAGCAGCAGCTTAGTCACCCTGGAAAGAAGCTCACTCTTGCCTGCATGTTTTCCTTATCATTGATCCTGGGGAGAGAAGAAGGGAGGGCCTTATGGCTCTGGTGAGGGCTGCCCACCCTCAGGTCACTGCCCATCTAGTCTGGGCTGGGCTTAGGGCTTCATGCTACTGCCCAACGCTGTGGGCTTCTGGGTCTCTGATGTCCCCAAAGGAGTTCTAGACTGTGTGGCCCAAGTCTCAGGACATCCATACCTTCCAGGCTGCTGCATTCGCTGAAAGCCCTAGGGACAGTCTGAATCCCAAGTTGATATGAAGCTGAGCTCAGCTTCCTCCCAAACATGTGATTCTTTAGCACTGAAAGGTGATTCTATAGAATTTTCTCCAGATTCCTGCATCTTTAATTCAGGAAGGGAGGAAAAAAAGGAAATCATGGGCCTCACTGGCTACACCCATTGGGGCTGACATGGACCTTCCCAGGGAACTGACTGGGAACTGCCTGCCAGGCCTCTGGTGGTGGTGACAATGCCCACCTCCAGGGGGCACTGTTGTGCCAGCTCCTGACTTCCAGACTTTCCTGTGGGCTCCCGGCATCATCCCAAGTGAAGGGTGAGCAAGGTGGGTACCTGAGGTCTTGTTCTTTTTTCTTTCTTTTTTTTTAATCCCACCAGAGGATATTTTTTCCATTGCTTTTTCAGAGAGAGTGGAAGGGTGGAAGAATAAGGGGGAAGAGAGAGAAAAAGAGACAGACAGACACATTGATGTGAGAGAGAAACAGACTGATTGCCTCCTACATGCATTCTGACCAGCAGTGGGGAGTGAACCTGTCACCCAGGTATGTGCCCTTGACCAGGAATTGAACCCACAACCCTTTGTTGTGCAGGCCAATGCTCTAACCACTGAGCAAGCATACTGGTTAAGGCTGAGGCCTCGCTCTTTTTTTTTTTTAATTGATTAAGGTATTACATATGTGTCCTTATCCCCCCCTTTGCGCCTCAAATCCGTGCTCATGCCCTCACTCCCCTGGTGTCTGTGTCCATTGGTTAGGCTTATATGCATGCATACAAGTCCTTTAGTTGATATCTCTCCCTTACTCTCACCCTCCCCTACCTTCCCTCTGAGGTTTGACGGTCTGATTGATGCTTCTCTGTCTCTGAATCTGTTTTTGCTCATCAGTTTATGTTGTTCATTATATTCCACAAATGAGTGAGATCATGTGATATTTATCTTTCTCTGACTGGCTTGTTTTGCTTATCGTAATGCTCTCCAAGGCCATCCATGCTGTTGCAAATGGTAGGAGTTCCTTCCTTTTTAGAGCAGCGTAGTATTCCATTGTGTAGCTGTACCACAGTTTTTTAGTCCTCTCATCTGCTGATGGGCATGTAGGCTGTTTCCAAATCTTAGCTATTGTAAATTGTGCTGCTATGAACATAGGGGTGTATATATCCTTTCTGATTGGTGTTTCTGGTTTCTTGGGATATATTCCCAGAAGTGGGATCACTGGGTCAAATGAGAGGCCTCGCTATTAACGCCTCCAGCAGACACCACAGGTTACACTTGGCAGGTGACCTGTGCACATTTATGTCAGTGCTTGGAAACCCCCGGTCTTTCTTGAACTGGCCTGCTGCTTTGTGCCAGGAAATGGGAAACAGCATTGTGATTGCATTTATCCTATGGTCTTGCCTGCCCAACAACTGTTAAGTTGTGTAGTAAGTCTGTATTAAGGTTTGAATTTGGGGTAGATTTGCTTTTACATTGGGGGATTTTTTTATTTTTATTTTTATTTTTAAAGAGTCCTATTATTTCCTTCTTACTGTAATCCATCTCAAAGTAACTTTACAGTTGATAGAATATATTTACATGCATGTGTATCAGGGTCTGTGTTTCAGTGGAGTCATCCTGGGCACTGTGGGGTGTTGAGCAGCATCCCTAGTTTCCACCCGCTCAAGGCCAAGAACACTCCCAATCATGAGACCACATATGTCCCCCACGGGGCAGGGTCAGCCTGGGTGAGAACCCCTAGTGTAGACAGATAGGTAAACAGAGATGAACAGTCTGGACAGCCCTAACTCTTACTTCAGGCTCCGCTTACTAAGTGTCCCAAATTATCCCCCATGCCTTGTTCTCTTTTCCTCTCTGTTGCTTTTGGTGGTAACTTTCATTACATTTGCATCTCTTACTCATGGCTGATCCTGAGGGCGAGACTCTGCCTTTCTCTTTGTTAATATCATGTTTCCATCTCCCAGGCACCTTGACACAGGCCATTCGTAACTTTGCCAAGAGCTTGGAAGGCTGGTTGACGAACGCCATGAGTGACTTCCCACAACAGGTTATCCAGACTAAGGTAATTCCTGGGAATGGGGTCTGGGCCTTCAGATCACACTGGTGACCAGAAGCAGAGGCCACAGGCCTGGGGACTCCTTGAGCCTAGCTGTGCTGAAGTGGGAGGGGGGCGGGAGTAGCTCAGAGGAGAGGACTCCTCTCCCTCTGCTCTGGGAGAACTTGACTGCTGGGCCCTAGAGAGAGCCGGTCATTCCTGTATGTCCTGAGGATCAGTGGTCCCTTCAGGAAGTCCTAAAGATGCTGCTGATGTAGGTTAGGTAATGGCAGGGAGGGGCTCGACGAAGATGCCATTTGATGTGGCACATTTGGGTCAGCTCACAAAAGATTGATTATTTATATGCTCGTGAAAAGACAAAATTTAATCTCCTTGCTTACATTATCCTTATTACATTAGTCTTGGCCACAAATCAGAATTTAAATGTGGATATTTGGCCCACACAGGAAAAAGAGAACAACTTCTTGTAATTGTTCTTGCATACATTTCTTAGAGTGCCATGTATAGAGGCCAGATTTTGGGCATCTGGTCTGCCTGCCTATAGTCTGGAATTGGTGTTAGGCCGGTGATACCACAACTCCAGGGAGCAAAAGAACCACCTAGGTAGTCAGTAAATCACAGATCCCAAGGCCACCTCCACAGAGTCTGACCCAGTGGGCCCAGGAACCAGCATTTTCACCAAGCGTTCCAGAGAGCTTATGGAATTGAGTTCTAACCCACTGATGCCACACTGTCTATTATAGGTGCCATGTGATGTGTTGGTAACGTCTGTGTCCACTGATTCTCACTCTTCAGGTTCTTGAGTCTGTCACAAGGGTGCATTGCATCCCTCTTTCCTGCCCCTGAACTATCCCTGAGTCCACGCCCTCCAAGAAGAGAAAATAGGCTTTCCCTACGTGCATTGCATGCGTGCAGCTCACCCTCTCATGCCATCTTTGGCCACAGGTCAGCGTGGTTAGCGCCTTCGCCCAGACCCTGCGGAGATACACATCCCTCAATCACCTGGCACAGGCAGCCCGGGCCGTGCTTCAGAACACTTCCCAGATCAACCAGATGCTCAGCGACCTCAACCGTGTGGACTTTGCCAACGTGCAGGTGACTTTCCCCACATGGGTCCCCACAGCCTGGATGGGGCTCCAGGACCAGACTGCAAAGCAGGGACAACGTGCGCATGACCCCACCCTTTAGAAAAATGCATAAACCCTCAATCTGCAGCCCATAGCACACCCAGCGCACATTTCTGCTGCATGAATTAGATTCAGGGTCGGCCCACCAAGTACCACAGGTCTCCACTTCAGGATCTCTCAGCCTCTCGGAGTTGTGACCATCACCCTCATTTTCTTTTAAAAATGTGCCTTCTGCCAAAACCAGTTTGGCTCAGTGGATACAGCATCGATCTGCGGACTGAAGGGTCCCAGGTTTGATTGGTCCCAGTAGGGGGTGTGCAGGAGACAACTGGTCGATGTTTCTCTCTCATCGATGTTTCTAGCTCTCTTCTCTGTGAAAAATCAATAAAGAATTTTTTTTAAATAAAAATAAAAATGTACCTTCCTATTGCCACATTCATAGTTCTTTCTTTGGGCCTAGAAAAGTTTGGACTGTCAGTAAATGGATCCTGCTACTGTATTTATGTCTAGGTCAAGCCCTGGGTTAACCCATTAAACACACACATATTCACAAGAGTGACTACTCAAAAATAAAATCCAAAGACATGGTATAATCAGAGCTATAGGTCCAGGAAACCTGGATTTAAGTCCTTGTATGCCGGGGCAGTTGCCCTCTCTGGTCCATTGTCTGTCCCCGTGAAGTGGGTACAAATGGTGCTTGACTGCAGTTGGAAAAGACCACGGGTGAAGATGGGATGGGTGCATGCTCGGCCTAAGGTCAGACTTGGAGCTGGTGCTCAAGAGATGGCCGCAGTCTGGGTCCCTGAGCTCTCACCCATGGTGTTGGTATGGGGGGCTGTCACTGACTCTGTTCTGACCCTCTGCCGTTGCACCTGCAGGAGCAAGCCTCATGGGTGTGCCAGTGCAAGGAGAGCGTGGTGCAGCGGCTGGAGCAGGACTTCAAGCTGACCCTGCAGCAGCAGAGCTCCCTGGACCAGTGGGCCAGCTGGCTCGACAACGTGGTCACACAGGTCCTGAAGCAGCATGCGGGCAGCCCCAGCTTCCCCAAGGCCGCCCGGCAGTTCCTGCTGAAATGGTCCTTTTATAGGTAAGTGCCTCTTGAACTCCCCGAGAACTCTGGGAGGACAGGGGTGGAGGGCTCCAGAGGTTTTCCCGCCTTCAGTGGCCAAAAGCCCAAACCAGGGCTCAACCTATAAGCCTCATCTGACAGACTGGCTCCTAGGGTCAGGCCCAGGGGCCCCTTGTGACCTAAAGTAGGTGACAGGCTTCCCAAGACAGAAATCGTCATCGATCCTTCTGGAGAAGCATAGCAGCTTGAGTCTATGTGTTTATTTCTGTTCCCCAGCAAAACCCCACAAACTGGCAGTAAAGGAAGTGGTAAAAAGGCATAAATCCCCAGAACGAGAACAGGAGAGCAGACGATGGCAGATCAATGAGTGAGGGCAAGAGTTTGGGAGGTGGTGTAAGGTGGTCAGTTAGGTCAGTGAGTCAGACCGGGAGCAACCATCAGGCTTTTAGTCCCACACACACTGTCAAATACAAGCAGGAGGTAGAAACCGGCGTCAGTTCCCCTGCAGTCCATGTGTCCCTGCAGAATGGTACTGGGCAAGGGTCAGGTGTGTCGAGGGTACACATATTTTAAATTATATCTGTAAATACATTATAGTTAAACATAATTGTATGAATATAGAAATTATTATATATTAACTAGAGGCCTAGTGCAAGAAAATCATGCAGAAACTCTCAGCCTGGCCTGTACCCTCTCAGAATCTGGGACCTCTTGCTCCTTACCGCCTGACTGTCCGCCACTGTGCTTACCAGCCATGAGCCCGGCTTCTGGCTGAGTGGTGCTCCTGCTTTGGGAGCCCACTGACCACCGGAGGGCAGCTCTATGGACATTTTATCTTTTAATCAGCATATTAAAATTTAAAGAGACACATTAGAATTTCCAAACATTTGAGCAAATACCAATTTGAATTGGTCAACGTGAAACCCAAAGTGTCAGGCGCCAAGATGGAGGATGAAGTGTTATGGAGAAGCAAGCAGGGGCATGATTTGATTGGCTACAGTTCCAGCAGCTAGCTGCCTTATTTGGGAACTAGTTGTGATTCCTTGTTTTAAGTTTCACTCTCGGACATTGACATGGCTTAGATTTTGGTTTGCTTACTAGGCTCAAGGCATCAGAGCACCCAAGTGTGATAACCCCTCATTTAATTACTGTAATAGTCTGTATTTTCATTGTTTTTCCTTTCCTGTCTTGCCCCTGCCTGTTTACTTTATTGCTTACAATAGTGATTAGACTTAACAGAGAGTAGGTGAGCTCTGAAATGGGCATTTGAGTGTTTGTGACTACATGGCAGATGTGTTGCAGACCCGGGTTTCTTGTTGGGTGCCATGTTACTTGAGATTAGGGGTCACTTTTTATTTTTTTAAAAGAATCCAATACTAAGTATTTTTGAACAATAGTTTTATTGGCACATGGCACACACATGTAGACAAACAGGCATGGCTGTGTGCCAATAAATCTTTATTTATAAACACTGAAACGTGAATTTCAAATACTTTTCATGGGTCACAAAATAATTCTTTTGACTTTCCCCCCAACCATTTAAAATGTAAAAGCTATTCTTAGTGCTCAGGTTGTATAAAAACAGGTTGGTAAGCTAGGTTTGGTCTGGATTGGGCTTTAGTTTGCTAATCCCAGAGGCAAAGACACCCTGAAATTCTGTCTTGTTTTTAGGTACCTAAACCACAGACTGAGAAGGGAAGGATCCAGGGGAGGATGGGAAAGATGGCCTGCTGTTGGGGAGCCATTAAGGCACTGAAAAGACTCCTTACCAAAGGTGGTCTCTAAGGCTTATGCCAGAGGCTGTCACCTTTATGTTCTCAGTGGCCTCTTCTTAGAGCCACCGCTCCTGCTCACCCCATCTGCCTGTCCCCACCTGAGTCACACTGGGACATGGGGGTGGTCTGGCAACTGGCATGCCCCTTGTAGGTCTAGGAGGTCCCCAGATGACCTCAGAGCTGAAGAAAAGCCTGGTTCGCCTGCCTGGTGGGGCTCCGTACTCCCGAAAGGTGCCTAGCCTCTGTCTGCCCGTCCCCAGCTCCATGGTGATCCGAGACCTCACCCTGCGCAGCGCCGCCAGCTTCGGCTCCTTCCACCTGATCCGCCTGCTGTATGACGAGTACATGTTCTATCTGGTGGAGCACCGTGTCGCCAAGGCAACCGGGGAGACTCCCATTGCCGTGATGGGAGAGGTGAGGGCCAGAGAAGTCTGCAGGGGTGAGGGAGTTTGCTGAGCATGACACAGTGGACAGTGGGCAGGCAAGAGCTCTCATGGTGGAGCTGCAGGCCTGGGTTCAGATCCTGTCTCCTCGGCCTACTCTTTATTCTTACTCTGGGCAGATACCCTACCTCTGAATGAGGCCTCAAACACTGAGGTAAAATACATACAACATATAATAGAATTTACTACTTTCACCATTTTGAAGTGAACAATTCAGTGACATTTAGTACCTCTATCTAATTCCAGAATAGTCCATCACCCAGAGAAGCCCCATCCCCATCCTCCTCCCAGTCCCTGGCAACAATAAATCTGTCTCTGGATTTGCCTGTCCTGGACATTTCACATGGAATCACACACTGTGTGGCCTTAGGTGTCTGGCTTCTCACACTGAGCATCATGTTTTCAAGGTTTACCCATGTTGTAGGTGTCAGTACTTTGCTCTTTTTAGTGGTTTTGCTCTTTCCACTGTGTGGATGGTCAGCATTTTGTTTGTCCATTCATCTATTGATGGACATTTGGGTTGTTTCCACCTTTTGGCTATTGTGAATTGTGCTGCAGTAAACATGTGTGTACAAGTTTTTGTTTGAACATCTATTTTCAGTTATTTTGGGTATCTACCCAGGAGTGGAATTTCTGGATCATTGAGGAAGAAATGAGGTTATATTTATACAGCTTTGGAACATAACAAGCCCTTAATAAATGCCAGCATTCCTTCACTGTCACTATTCAGAGGCCACAGCCCCTGTCTCCTTGCTGGCCTGAGCAGTCAGCACCCCCTCAACCCTCTAGCAGCTCCCAGATGCAACCCAGAAAGTGGCAGAGGGGACACATAGCATCATAGCTACTTCTTATGTAAGAACCTCTCACAAAGCAAAAGCCCGTTTTAACTGTGGGTGGGTGACACTGCTGACATTCACGAGGACCCACTCTGCAGAGGGCCCTGACTCTGGTCTTCTCTCTTTCAGTTCAACGACCTCGCCTCCCTGTCACTGACACTGCTGGACAAAGGTGGGTGTGTCCGTGGCTTTCCCATGAGGCTTCCTCCTGCGAATGGCCTGGTGGGAAATCAGGGTGGGTTGAGGGCCTCAGGAGCTGGCACCCAGAGAGAGGATGATACCCAGGCAGCAGTAGGTGTCCCAGTGATGCCTCCAAGTAGCCCTGTCCTCTCCTGCTTGACTGTGGCACTTCGTGGGCACCCACACCAGGGCCACAGCTAGGAATGAGGTGGGAGGAAGATTTGAAGGGGTAGTGGGCAGAAAGGCCCCCAGCTCTGACCTACTCCCTGCCCCCAAAGGGGTGGGAGGACCAAGCACCAAAGGAAAACCTGCCAGGAATGTGACCCAGGCAAATGAGCATTGGTCAAGAGAAGTCACCGATGAGAAGGCCAGAAAGGACCAGGTTAACCAGACCAGAGCTGAGGTCTGTTCATGCCTGGGCACCTCTGAGGATGTGCTTCTCTCTCCCTCCCATCACCCCTGACTCACCCCTTTCCCCCCAACACTGACCCCACAGATGACATCAGTGAAGACCGGAGCAGTGAGGCTGATGCGGATGCCCGCAGCTTGGGTGAGCCCCTGGTGAAACGGGAGCGCAGCGACCCAAACCACTCCCTGTAGGGTGTGTAGCACTGAGGCCCTTCCCCAGGCCTGCCTGGCCTCCTCGAGCTCCACAACAATCGTGCCTCTTACATGAAGTGACCTTGACTCTGACTCACAGGATCCCAGGGCATGTGCACCCTGAAAGGACATGCTCTTCCTCCCCAAGAAAACTTGTTCACCCCGGCCGAAGGTCGCACCTAGTTCTGAGAACCTGAGTGGCTCCCGGGGGCCCACCCGAATCATCTTTTCCTCCTGACTGTCTTCGTCCTGCCGTCTTCTGGACTATGACCTGCAGGCCACTTCCACACCCCGCGGAGCTGGAAAGACCGAGCTGGGCAGGTCAGCACCTCTGCGTTGGGCTTCTCCGTTCAGCTCAGTCCAGTTTTCACCATGATTTTTAAAACTCAGGCCTATCCCAGGAAGGAAAGGTGTCTCACAGCTGTTGGTCAGTCCCACGCTGACCTCATCCACAGAGACCCTGCTCTGGTGCCCCTGTGATGGAAAGGCGTGTCTCTGTACTGCACCCCATGGCCTCTCGTAGACAGGCTGTCCTTCGCCTCCTGTCCTGTGCTGAAGCAGGGAGGTCCCAGGGGCCCCACTTCTAGACTCCAAAGATCCACACAGCAAGTCCCTAGGTGGCAGGCAGACCATGGGCCCATGTGGATCAAAGAACAAGTCACAGAAATAGGCCCGCTGTGTCTAAGAATTTACACCAGGATTACCAGCACCAGGAAGGACTGTGGTTTCTGTCCAAGGTTACACCAACATGAAGCCAACCACTGAGTCTGCAATGCACCTGATCCAAGGGGGCCAAGGCAGACAGTGTCCCAGTGGTGCATTCAGAAGCCTGCCATCCCGCCAAATCTGCACAAATAGCCATGCCTGCAGTGTGGTCCACAGAATCTTATAGAATGCCTGCCTTGGAATTGGTGATCCTGGAGAACAGTGACCCTGGGCAGGTCCCATCTTGAACTGTTTGAAGTTGAGATCTTCTCTGGGGACAAACAGATCCCAAGGACTTGGACAGCCCTGAACTTTAAACTCCCAATCTGTGTCCCAACAGCAACAAGCACTTGGTTGCTCCGTGTGAGTCCTGTCCCAAAAACAACTGCAAAGAAGAAAGACAAACCTTTAGTCTAGGAAGTGCCATCTAATGCAATGCAATAGTTTCTCTCTGGAAATATCTTTATACCAATAGTTTTGTGCTCCAATTGTTATTAGAACGTTTCTTAATAATGTATATTGCGGTATATTTGGTCCCCAATATTTTATCTCATTCACGTCAAGCAGGAGCGCTGGGCCTACCTCGGCCCTCGCCAGGTGTGCGGGGTGGTGGTGGGGGAGGAAGTGGCAAGAAAAATACTCGCTGACTGTAGAAACCCCAAGTCCATGATGACCACAATGTTTGTCTGGTCTTAGTGTTCAAGATTTAGATGAAATCAGACAGAAAGAATGTCTTTAAATACACACCTCCTCTGCTGGAAGGCACCGAAGCTCACGGTGCGAGCACTGTGATGCCTCTTTCCAGCTGGGTTCTGCCTTAGGCTCTGCTGTGTCCTTTGCAGGATTTCACGAGGACTACAAATGACAGTAAAGACAAAAGTCTTCCAAGCCCGTTCTTGTTTTTCATTGCACTCAACACATTAAGCATACCCATTTGGGGGTCACAATCCACACTCCAGCCCCACCCCAACCCAGTGGTGCTCCATGGAGAGTAGATGCTCCCTCCCGGCCTGCCCTGGCCTGCTCGGAACAGCAGCTGGAGCAGGAGCACGTTCTTCAAGCTTCACTTGGCACGGCCAGTCCGGGGCCAAAGGTGGCAAGAAACAATTCCTAGCACAGGATGGTCGCGGCCATTTGTAAACAGAGTAAATTTATTCAAATATTACAGAATAAATCCACCCTCCAGCCACTGAAGCAGCCCACTAGTTGTTCTCAAGGTTTATTCTGTAGAATATGGCGGGGGAGGGGGACTCCAGAATCTCCTAAGAACCAGTGCTAAAGCTTGTTCCAAAATCACCAATCCGTGGGTCCCAGGCGAAGAAAGCCTGCCTCTTGGGATTGGGATGGATCTGGGAATCCATATTGTGACCACCCCTTCCCAGGGGTGTGACACGGGATCTTGAAGAAATCCTGCAGAGGACAGTGATGCCAATCCTGATAAGCCTCCCCTAAGAGCAGCTTCTCACTGCCAGGCCAGTATCCCACATGCCCCCAGGGATGCTCGGCCTTAGGCCCCAGAGCAGGCTTCTTTGTCCCAGGAAGTGGCCCTGCGTCATGAGTTCCTTCTAGAATCCTCTATGATGGAACCTCCAGGTGACACTAAAATTGTCCATAACTTAATTGGGCTGGGACTCCAGGGTCTGTGCTTGGCTTAATGCTCTTCTATCACTATCTTAATTCTTAATTTTGGAACAAAGGGCCTACGTTTTCATTTTCACTGAAAGGGTTCCACAACTTCCATGGCTGATCCCTCCTCTTCAGGCCCTGACTCTGCTGATTCCCTGCTAGGCTCATGAACCCAGACTCGCCCCTACCCTCTGGTGATTCACGATTTCAGCTGCTTAGCAGCACAGCTCTTGCACCAAACAGCAGCCCTCCCCACCCACCCCCAGCTTTCCCCTTCAGAGAAACAGGCTGGGTGTTGGGGTGGCAGGGACCCTGGAGGAGGAGAATCAGGCCCTGCCTTTGGGGTCTGAGTGGCTGGTGAGGGATTGAACATGGGTGCCTACATGATTACTGCCCCAGGAGTCAGAGAGATGAGCAAGGGAGCCTGCTGAAGGCCCACAGGCTGTCAGGTTCCTCGGAGAGCAGGCATTGCACAATAGAGGGAACCCAGTCCTACCAAGAGCCTCTGGGAGCTCCACAAGAGACACTTTAGTCTGGTCTCCTCTTTTTGACGATCTTCCAAGGTAGGTATTGCCCCGACTGTGCACATGGGAAAATCGAAGCTGCTAGCTGGAATGCAGACATGATGGCTGGAGCACCAACAGCCATTTTAGATCTTGAGGTGGATGTTATATAATAAGGATGGCAAAACAGTGTGACAGAAGGAGCCTGGGTCCCTGGTGATCATTACAGCTTTAATGGTCCCATCAGAATTCAATAAGCTACAGAAAAGGGAGTGCAGGGGGACCCATGGATGCCCCTACACACCCCACTGCAGGTGTTAACTGATCTGCTTTGCTCAAGACCATTTTCCAATTCTAGCACAGTGTATGCTCAGCAAACATTTAGTGAATGAGTGAGTGAATTAATGGAAGAAGGCGGCTTCTGGGAGAAGGTACTATTCCTGGGGATCATGGGAAGGGAGAGGAAAGGAGAGAACATGGGAGGAATGATGAGGAATGGACAAAGTAAAGAGAAACTAGGGAGGACACCATCAGAATTATTAAAGGTGGACTGATTCTGGAAGGATGGATTAAACAGGAAGAAACTGGAAACAAGGAAGTCAACTATGTCCTTGTTAAAATCTACAAGGGAGGCTCTAGGGGCTGAACTGAAGCGGGCAGGGGAAGGGAGGAAGGGGACCAAGAGGCCTGCTAGAGCCATTGCCCAACGGAGGCTGAGTGGGTTATAAAATCATGTTTGTGACTTAGGATCAGCTTAGTTTTCTTTTTAATGGACTAAGATAGGAAAGATCAGGAGTGTCAACGTAATAAAAATAAGCATGGCTTTATAAAATATTTTAAAATATATTTTATTGATTTTTTTTACAGAGAGGAAGGGAAAGGGATAGAGAGTTAGAAACATCAAGGAGAGAGAAACATCGATCAGCTGCCTCCTGCACACCCCCACTGCGGATGTGCCCTCAGCCAAGGTACATGCCCTTGACCGGAATCGAACCTGGGACCTTTCAGTCCTCAGGCCAACGCTCTATCCACTGAGCCAAACCGGTTTCAATGCTTTATAAAATCTTAACTTCAGTGTATACACACACACACACACACACACACACACACACATGCACGCACGTGCGCGGTGGTGGCACATAACTGATATTCAGTATATATTTATATATATATATTAGGCCTAATGCACAAATTCATGCACAGGTGCACAGGTGGGGTACCTCAGCCTGGCCAGTGATGGGCGATTAGTGCTGGCTGATCCAGGAGGTTGGATGTGGGACCGCACTGACCACCAGGGGTCAGCTCCTGTGTTGAGCGTCTGCCCCCTGGTGGTCAGTGGGTATCATAGCATCACTTAAGCTTTTAGATATAGATGATAGATAGATATCCTATATAATAAAAATGTAATATGCAAATAGACCAAATGATGGAAGACGGTCCCTATGACGTGCACTGACCTCAAGGGGAAGCGCCACTCAGTCAGATGCCAGGCTCACGGCTGACAAGCCCAGCGGTGGTGGCAGGAGGCTTTCCTGTCTTGGCTGCAGGTGGGTGGTAAGGAGCGAGGGGTCCCAGACTGTGAAAGGGATGTCCACCTACTGGCTTAGGCCCGATCCCCAGAGAGAACAAACCCAAGCTGGCAGACAGACATCCCTCCGAGGGGTCCCGGACTGCAAGAGGGCATAGACCAGTCTGAGGGACACCATCTCCACCCCAGTGCATGGATCTCGTACACCGGGCCTCTAGTACTGTATGTATGTATGTAATTGGACTAAAATGTATTGAATATTCATATGTATCCAAAGGCACAATGCTCACCATATTTTGAGGTCATGGGTCTCTTTTAGAATCCTCTATGATGGACAATTGTGGGGTTTTGCTATCCAGCATCTGTTCCACCTTCTTTGGGGATGACCTTTCTCCCATAGTTTTAAACACCATTTCTATTTGGGTTCTCTCACATCCTGGGAACAGGCTTGTCCCGTGTGGAGAGCAGCAAGGAGGCCACTGTGGCTGGCACCAGTGACTGGTGAGACAGGAAGGTAAATGGGGGGGATAAGGAAGGCTGCCTATCGTGGCAGGGACTTGGGGTTTCATTTCAGGCTGGTGGCCCCTAAGTGAGAGGGCCATAACTACAAAATGGATTGAGAAGTCCCCTCCCTTAGC